TTGAGCAGGGGAAAAAGAAAAAAAGACAGGATGGATGCTTGATAAGGTAGTGAGAAAAGCCAGGAACTGGATCAGCAGTTAAACAATCAAACGGTATGAAGATTAGGTCAGCCAGTTAAGACAAAAGAGATGTCTTGGGTGCCTGGGTGGCTCAGTCGTTAAGCGTCTGCCTTCGGCTCAGGTCATGATCCCGGGGTCCTGGGATTGAGTCCCACATCGGGCTCCTTGCTCAGCACAGAGCCTGCATCTCCCTCTGCCTGCCTGCTACTCCCCCTGCTTATGCTCTCTCTCTCACTCTCTCTAATAAATAAATAAAATCTTTAAAAAAAAAAAAAAGAGATGTCTAAACATGTATGAACATGTAACTGCCACAACTACACATTTACTGTGCTAAAAACTATGTATGAGTAATTTGCAAGGTTAAGTATCATTTGCCCTATCAGGAGAAACTGTGAATGACTTTGAAGCGAGCATAAAAAGTACTGGTATCCTTGTCTAGTGAGCCCTGTGACGGTCTCAGAGCTATTTTACAACTCTGTAAACTGTAGTAATGAGAGTGATGCAAAAGAATTTTGCCTGGTGGAATGCAGCTACTAATTGCCCTATGGACACTGAGTCTTGCAAGAATTTGTAAATAAATTCATTTCAGCATTCCTGATGACCTTATAGAACTGTATTTGTTAAATTGTCCTTTTAACTGCCTATAACATCTTACTGGTTTCCTCATTAGTTAATGAGTTACAGAAAATCTCTGACATTTCCATTTCATGTTTATATGAGTCATGATTTTATCTTTTTTCCCCCCAATCATCATTTAATAGCTCTTTACACAGGTAAGGAAACTGGAACTTCAAAAGCCTTTGCTCTGGGCACACCACACCACCTCAGCCTGTGCCAGTTCTTTTTGAGGTAACTTGCAGGCACATGATGGTGAGAAGGAAGGAAAGCATATCTGAAGGACAGCATATAAGGTAGCCCAGACCAGCCTCTCCCTTACCTCTACTTGAAAATCATTATCCCAAGGAAAAGTGGAGATACTGAGCAGCTTAGGAACTCATAGACTGTCCCCCATCTCCAGCTAAACAGTTCATTTACTGGATGCCTGGGTGGCTCAGTCAGTTAAGTGTCTGCCTTCACTCAGGTCATGATCCCAGGGTCCTGGAATCAAGTACCACACTGGGCTCCTTGGCTCAGCGGGGAGCCTGCTTCTCCCTCTGTCTGCCACTCCCCATGCTTGTACTCTTGCTCTCTCTCTGGCAAATAAAATCTTTAAAAAGAAAAAAATAGAGTTCATTTACCAAAAGGGGGGGGCAGTTTGCACAAAATCCCACCAACAGAGAGGGACTAAGAAGGCAACACTAACTCACTCCACATCATCTTTCCCTGAGGTAGAATCATAAAAGAACTGAAAAGGAAATGAAAGAAAAGTGCTCTCTTAGGGCGCAAGAGGGAACAAAGCAAGGGGAAAGCTGACCTGGAAAGGGAGAGGGGAAGTGTCCTAATTTAATCAGAGGGACTGTTTCACACAGAAAAACAATCTGAAGACTGACCTCTAAATGAAACCAAATGTTCCCTACAACTCCCTGCAGGAATCAGTACTCGCCTACTTGATAAGGGTGAAAGACATCTAAGAAGATCAAAGGACTGGGTATTTGCCACCATTCACTCTTCAGTCAATGAAAATCCATTAAAAAGATACCTAAAAATAATCAGCTGGTCTGGCAAGAGAGTATAGTGGAGAAAAGCCTTGAAATTAGGATCAATTTCAAAAGAGAAGTGAAAATAATGCCAACACCACACTCACTGTGCCAGATACTTTACATGCACTACCCATTTAATCCTTCCCAAACTCTGAAAGTATGTATTGCTAGCACCCTGTTTTCACAAAAGAAACTGAGGTTTAGAAACAAATAGCCTGCCCAAGGAAGATGAGTAGCTATTAAGTGCTACAGCTGGGATTCAAACCCAAGTCTGCCCTAGTCCAGAGTGTGGGATAAGCATGGAGGGCTGGAATTTGTACAATTACATCCCCCCCCACACAAAAAAAGCACACAGTTCCCTGACTCTCAGGCACACATTTGCCCACATTTAAACATCTCTGCAATCAGGATATCTGTTGGCTGTCAAGCTGCACATGTGTGACATCTTCAGATAAAGAGCAAACATCAAAATTTGCAGAATGCGGGCACCTGGCTGACTGTCAGTAGAGCACGCAGCCCTTGATTTCAGGGTCCTGAGTTCAAGCCCCACATTGGGTGTGGAGCCTACTTAAAAACACCAAAACAACAACAACAAATTCAAAACAAACACAACTTGCAGAATGGTTGTCAAAAATTGGGAAGAAAATCTTGGGACTCTAGTGGAGCATCATGGATGGCTGGGAGGCATGTGTAGGAAACATGGACCCTGATGACCAAGTTAAAAAGTGAATTACAGTCCATCTGTGCATGTGAAAAAGTTTTAGGAGTACCTTATTCACTTTATTTCACTTACATTTTCCTTGTTATACATGCACAAAAGTGACATAACAAAAATTTATGCTTAAGTCTCAAGGACCTCCTCAATAAGTAAAATATAAATAAAATATAAATAATAAGTACAAATAAAAAAAATTGTAGAGGCACCTGGGTGGCTCAGTCGGTTAAGTGTCTGCCTTTGGCTCATGTCATCATCCCGGGGTCCTGGGATCGAGCCCCAAGTTGGGCTCCCTGCTCAGCAAGAAGTCTGCTTCTCCCTCTTCCTGTGCCCCTCCCCCAGCTCATGGTCTCTCTCTTATGCTCTCTCACTCTCCCTCTGTCTCAAATAAACAAATCTTTTCTTTTTTTTAAGATTTCATTTATTTGTCAGAGAGAGAGAGCACAAACGGGGAGCAGCAGGTAGGAGGAGAAGCAGGCTCCCCACTGAGCAGGGAGCCTGATGCAGGGCTTGATCCTGGGACCCCGGGATCATGATCTGAGCTGAAGGCAGACGCTTAACTGACTGAGCCACCCAGGCGTCCCAATAAATAAAATCTTTAAAAAATAAAATAAAAAAACATTGTCAGTTTGTATTATAGTAGTTTGTATTATACACTTAACTTTTACATTTAAAAAAAAAGCACTGTCATAGCTTAATTGGCAGGGTTTCTTCTTTCCCATGATAACAAAATTATGGCACGTCTTATAATCATTTGTATCTAAGATTCAATACAATATAGTAATTATAAACACATGGTAAAAGAAAGATGACAGTATAAAATAGCATAGAGTACAAATTAAGCCTGCCTCCTGCCTGCCTGCCACAACTTTCCTCTCTAAAAATTACCATTAGCATTTTTCATCTTCTCAGATATTGAAAATATGTTAGCAAAACTATATATACAGAGATTAAACATGTAAATATCTAATATAAAATCTGTCTCTCATTTTCTTTCCTTTTTTTTTTAAGATTTTATTTATTTGAGAGAGAGAACAAGCAGGGGGAGCGGCAGGCAGAGAGAGAGGGAGAAGCAGGCTCCCTGCGAGCCCAAAGCGGGGCTTGATCCCAGGACCCTGAGATCATGACTTGAGTGAAGGCAGATGCTTAACTAACTGAGCCACTCAGGCACCCCTGCCTCTCCTTTTCAAAACTCTATTTTAAAAGGAAAATTTCTCGGGGTGCCTAGGTGGCTAAGTTAACGGTTAAGCATCTGACTTTGGCTCAGGTCATGATCTTGGGGTCCTGAATTGGCCCTCCATCGGGCCCTGCACTCAGTGGGGAGTCTGCTTCTTCCTCTCTCTCTTCCTTCTGCCCCTCCCCCACTCGCGCTCTCTAATAAATAAATATCATTAAAAAAGGGGAAAATTTCTCCTACTCATTTCAACTTATTCTTCATTATAGTTACATGTGACACCTAAATGTTTCACAGGACTTTAACACCCATCAAATTGTTCTCATGGAAAACCTGTTAAGTGGGGTAGAAACAACTTACAGGCAGGAAAAGCAAGCATGAGTGATCTCTACACTAATTATTGCATGTCCACACTTAAGACAGCAAGCAAGTCTCAAACGAAGAAGACAAAGAATAAAGGATCTAGTCAGCAAACCTCAAAGTCATTTCCCATGCCCCAGTGCTAAAATACCCACAGGTTTCTGATTAAGAATTCATGTTACCAAAAGGGAAGAGGCACACTTGTTCAATACAAGTCTGCTAAAGTCATATTTAAATAGAAGAAATTTAATTTTTTCAAAATCACTGTAAAATTATTTCCTAATTTCCCAAGACAGGAAGCAGAAGAGTTATACAAACAGAGAAAAAGAGCACTTCTCAAGATTCTTCTAGGGTCCCTGTGGCCTATCTAAATCAGACTGGATTAACTGGGGGTGGGGAGCGTGTGAAGAAAACCTCTCTGCTAACTAATATTCTAGAGAATATTTTCTAACTAGTTGCTAGGAGAGCAAGAGCGTTCAAAGAAATTATGTGGGTTTAAGGTGCATTCTCCTAAACTCATCTCCCTGCATAAAACACTGAGGTCTAGGGAACACTGTTCGTGCCACATCACTGACACAGCCTCCTCCACTCAGCCCCCAGGCTGTACAGGAACTGCTCACAACAGGGACCATACTCACATCAGACACTGCAATGGACTGCACGTCGGCACTGGCAATGAGATGGTTCTTCACAAGCGTCCCAGTAGCGGAGTCCCAGAACTGCACCTTCCCAGCAGAGTCCACACTTATGACCGTGCCATCAGACAAGAAGGCCACGCCCCATATGATACACTTCCGCTTAGACACACTCATATACTGCCTATCCACCAGCATCTTATGAACTGCACTCCCTGAAAAATAAGAAAAGCCCAAATTTGAATGGTACTTACTTCTTTTGTCTTCAAAACCTGCCTGTGGTAGGCATCTATTAAGTTAGCTGCCTGAGCACAGACCACAGACAGCCAGTAAATAGTAGTTATGGTGAACTCAGTCTCAAAACACAAAAATGGTTACCTAAAGACTGGGGGGGGGGGGAGGGGAAGGAGGGCTGGTGAAATTGAAAGGAGACATTTGAGACTTCACTTAAAACTGCCTAAAAGCAATGCGTATTTTCTAAAACCCCACAGAAAAGGGAGAGAAGACAATAGTTGATAAAATGTTGGGAATGAAAAAGAAAACATAGAGTAGTAACTGACGTAGCAGAGCCCTGAAACTAAGTCCCAAGTCAACAGTGGGGAAAACCAAGAAGCCACTTAATTTAGACCATGAAATCCTCAGAAGACTCGGAACTGTGGTGACCCCAAAAACTCTGGAAAAAGTGAAAGTGGAACTAAAAAGAGAAATTGGTTGAAAGTATGCTTAGAAACTTACAGATCCTTCAGATAACTATCCCCCAACTAAAAAGCCAAGCAACTCCCAAACTTCACCTCAAACAAGAATGGAGATTTATTCTCTGAAGAGAGAGATCAGGCACAACCGAGGGTGGGATTACTATATGGAAAATAGATAGAGTGAAAATTTATTAACTGAATGTTCAGAACACCAGTTTTCTTCCCAGAGTGCTGATGACCGGGCTTACTATCACCAGGCAGGAGAATAAAACACAATTCTGGGAAATATGACCAGCACAAGAAAAAAGATCTAAAAAGCCAATGTCTTTGGGGGTTCCCCAAACTAAGATTCCAGCCAGATCATTCCTCAGTGAAACCTATGAGGAATAAGAGTATCTACTCGTGTGGTAAGTAACGTTATCATCAGACATGTGAGCAAAGCTGGAATATGAAAGGTGGAGGCCAGAGAGACTACTAGAAAAAAAAAATACCAGGGAGAAAACAGAGCAAGAGTGAAGAATACCTGACAAATATCCTGAATAACCTTAGAAAGAGAAGTCCATACATAATGAAACAAAAAACGCTATAAAAAAGAACACTGAGGAAACAAAAAAGAGCTTTGGAAATGGCAGAAATGAGAAACTCAGTAACAGGATTTACAGATAAAGACAAGGGGTGCCTAGCAGGCTCAGTCGGTGGAACATGTGACTCTTGATCTCGGGATTTTGAGTTGGAGCCCCACACTGGATGTAGCAATTGCTTAAAAATAAAATCTAGGGGCGCCTGAGTGGCTCAGCCCGTTAAGCGGTTGCCTTCAGCTCAGGTCATGATCCCAGGGTCCTGGGTTGAGCCCTGCATCAGGGTCCCTGCTCGGCAGGGCGTCTGCTTCTCCCTCTCCCGCTGCTTGTGCTCTCTTGTTTGTGCTCTCTCTCAAATAAATAAAATCTTAAAGAAAATAATAAAATCTAAATAAATAAGTAAATGCAGGATAAAAATAAACTCCCAGGAAGCAGAATAAAAAGTCAAAGATATGAAAAATAAGAAGGGTGAAAAGATAAGAATAGTAGAAGAGCCAACATCCAAATAGTAAAATTTCAGAAAGAGAAAATGGAGAGAACCTCCTTTACCAAATAATTTAAGAATTTTCTCCAGAGCCCCGCATCGGGCTCTCTGCTCAGCCAAGAGCCTGCTTCTCCCTCTCCCACTCCCCCTGTGTTCCCTCTCTAGCTATCTCTCTCTCTGTGTCAAATAAATAAATAAAATCTTTAAAAAAAAAAAAAAAAAAGAATTTCCTCCAGAGCTGAGGGGCACCTGGGTGGTGCAGTTGGTTAAGCGTCAGACTCTTGGTTTCAGCTCAGGTCCTGGGAATGAGCCCTGTATCAGGCTCTGCACCCAGCTTGGAGTCGACTTGGGACACTCTCTTTCTCTCCCTCTGCCCCTCCCCACTGTGCTCTCTAAAAAAAAAACAAATCAATCTTAAAAAAAAGGGGAGGTACCTGGGTGGCTCAGGTAAACGTCTGCCTTTGGCTCAGGTCATGATCCCAGGGTCCTGGGATCAAGCCCCGTGTCAGCTCCTTGCTCAGCGGGGAGCCTGCTTCTCCCTTTCCCTCTACCTGCTGCTCCCTCTGCTTGTGCGCTCTCTTGAGCGTGCTGTCAGATAAATCTTAAAAACAGAAAAAAATTTCCCCCAGAACTGAAAATTGGGTTTTTTGATTAAAATAATCTACCAAGTGTCTAATACGATTGATGTTAATGGATCCACACATCAAGAAACCTAATTATTACATTTCAGAACAGTAAGGGTAAGATCCTAGAAGCTCCTTGTAAAAACAAACCAGAAAACCTATACAAAAGATCTTCTCCCAGGATGGTATCAGAGCTTATAATAATACTCGAAGCTGAGGACAATGGAGCCATGACTTCAAAATTCTAAGGGAAAATAATTTCTGACCTAGAATTCTCATGAACCCCTTCTCATGATCCACCAAACAAAGGAATAAACCAGGAAAGTGAATGGACACAGGGGATTCTACCTGAGAGAGAAGCATAGGAGATCCACGGAATGACTGAGAAATCAGTGTTCAAGACCTACAGAGGTATAGCAGGGCCAGAAACTGGTACACTAGAGTGGAGGTCAGAGGCTCTGGGGAGAGAATCATTCAAGAAGATAAAAGTGGTAGAAAGAAAATCAGATCTATCTGAACCTAATTTATACATCTGGAAGAATTTGAGGATGAATCAATGAGACAGATATATACATACAAATGTATATATATACGTACCTGTACATAAGTGGGGGTAAACATCAAAGAAATTAGCTAAGAGTTACAGATGGTTGCCTTTGAGGAGAGAAGGGCAATAGGGGGACTCCTGCTTCTTTGTAACAAGCCTCAAGGAGTTCTTTGACTATGCATGTATAACAGATAACAATAAAAAATTTTGCTTAAGCATGGAGGAAAAAGAAAAATGAGACAAACTTGACCTGTCTTACTTCCCATTTAGATGGGCCCACCTAACAAGCTGAACTCAGTCTCATCACTGAAGGATTCCATAAGCCAATTCTGCAGGCCAAGAATAGAGAAAGTATATGGTTCTCTACCTTTCTGATCTCATGCCTCACCAATCATGCTACCAAGTCCTTATGTTCCTCAAAGAGAGACACCCTTTACCAAGGTCTGGTATATATAAGTAGGTATTCTAACTGGTCACTTGTGGCATATATCATATTGCTCAAGGTGAACTCTTACTAGATAAAACCTAGGTATCCCACTGAATAACCCGGATTCTCCCAAAAGCAGCAGAAGCAATGTAAGAAAGGAGTGAAATTCATAGCTAACATCTCAGAAGGTTAATGAGGTTAGGCCCTAAAGGTCACTGAAAGCACAAAGGCTCAAGGTTTTGAAAACCACCAATGTGAATCTGACCAACAAGACCCACAGCCCAAATGAACTTAGAGAAACAGTCACCTGATTTGACATCAAACACACTGATGTAGTCTATGGAGCCAGCTGCAACGTGGGTACCGGAGGGATGCCAGCTGAGACTCAGGATGCGACCTTGGGAGTTGCACAACAAAAAAGAAAGGGACATACACATAAATATACAGTAAGAGGTAACTGAGTTCTCCTTTGACAATTACCTACAGGGCTAGTGTTCTACAATCTTAGCTCTCATCTACTGCACGCTGGTGAAGAACCGTTTTATAACAGATGAGGAACAACTGTGCCTTGGAACCCATAATGAAGTACTTAATATTACTTTAATAATGCAGAAAGGGTGGACAGGAGTGTAAAGAAACACAACTTTTTGTGGGTGATCTGTTACTAACCTAACAAAATTTAAATGTGCATATTTGGCTCAGCAATTGCACTGGGAATTAAACAAGGAGAAATACTTGCAGGAGTGTTCCAAACTACGTATACTGGAATATGCATTGCTGCTCTGACTGTAGTAGTAAAAAAAAAAATCAATACCCATCAATAGGAGTTTGGTTAAATAAATTATGGAACACCATAAAATGGAACGCCATGCAGACTGGCATGACTGACATGGAAGGATATCTGTGATACACCAAGTGAAAAAACAAGCACAAGAACTCCTGTGTATTTGTTTATATGAATATACAAAAATGCCTAGATTAGTTCCAAAATGTTGCTTACTAAGCGGAAGAGATACTTATTTTCTCTTTACACTTGGCTAAACACACAGATTTTGAATAAGCATTGTATTACCTTAGTAATTAAAAAAGAACACCCAAGGGGCACCTGTGTGGCTCAGCTGGTTGAAAGTCAGACTCTTGATTTTTGGCTCAGGTCATGATCTCGGGGTCATGAGATCAAGCTCTGTGTCAGGAGTCTGCTTGAGATCCTCTCTCTCCATTTCCCTCTGCCCCGCCTCTGCTCGGGCGCTCTCTCTCTAATAATTAAAAACAAACTAACAGGGGCGCCTGGGTGGCTCAGTTGTTAAGCGTCTGACTTTGGCTCAGGTCATGATCCCAGGGTCCCGAGATCGAGCCCCAAGTTGGGCTCCCTGCTCAACGGGAGGCCTACTTCTGCCACTCCCCCTGCTTGTGTCCTCTCTCGCTGTGTCTCTCTCTGTCAAATAAATAAATAAATAAAATCTTTAAAAAAAATAAAAATAAACAAACAAAAAACCCCAAAAAACACCCAAGCCTGGCTGCCTCAATTGGTAGAGCATGCGACTCCTGACCTCGGGGTTATGTTTGAGCCCTGTGATAGGTGTGGAGATTACTTAAAGTCTTTATAGGGCGCCTGGGTGGCTCAGTCAGTTAAGTGTCTGCCTTCGGCTCAGGTCATGATCCCAGGGTCCCAGCACTGAGCCCCACATTGGGATCCCTGCTCGGTGGGGAGCCTGCTTCTCCCTCTCCCACTCCCCCTTCTTATGCTCACTCTCTGTCAAAATAAATAAATAAAATCTTAAAAAAATAAAGTCTTTATAAATAAATAAACAAATCAAAAGGAATCTAAATAGCAGATAATAAATATTACTGATGGACACAATACAGGGGACAGGTACTGTTTTTTAGAAGGATCAGCAAGCTATGGCCCAAAGCACCAATCAGGCCCACCAAATGTTTTCATAAATAAAGTTTTACCAAAGCAGAGCCATACCCATTTGTTTAAGTATTATCTATGGCTACTTTTATGTGACAAGAGAGTTGACAGAGCATAAACCTAAAATATTTACTACCTGCTATCCTTACAGAAAAAGTTTGCCAACCCCCTGCTCCAGAAGTCAGTGTCAACTGGTCCAGGTGGGACAGGGGCAATTGTTTAAAAATTCTAGTTTTAAGACTTTATGCACAACATTAAAACTTCAAAAAGAAAGTAAGTGAGAACTAACAAAGTGACTTACACAGAAACACTAGCTTTCCTATTTCGGATTTCAGGTTTTCTATAATACTGAAGCAGGCAATCACAACTATGCTACAGGATAAAGAAAGCCTGAGTGAGGGATGGCTTCGAGCATATACCCTATACGTAGGTAAAGTCAGCACGTAGATAAACTAGTACTTGGACGCATGGAAACATAGCCTATCCCCAGAGGCACAAAAACATAATTTCTTGTTAAGGCTACTCACTGCCCCACCAAAAATAACCCTTACTTTTCTGCCGATCAAAATTTCTTTCAAACTGGATTTTGTCTGGGGTGATTTGAAATAGCTTCACAGATCCATCTTCACAGCCAACCTATTAGAGAAAGAGAATCAGAAAATAGAGAAAACAAGCATTTTGTATAACTAAATATATGTTTCTACAAATATAAACATTTCTTCCCTAAAACTGTCACTTGCTGTGAAAAAGAAAAATACTATGTGAGAGAAGAAAAAACTTACTGGTACCAAGACACTGAGAGTGTATTCTTGGCAGCCTTCATGTCCTAGCTAGAAAACAGGCTAATCAGTGGCCCAATTCCTGTACAGGACATGGAAAAGAAGTAGGATTTCACAGCACATATCTTCTAGGGACCCATGGCCTAAATAAAATACCCATTAACTATACAACCTAAATGGAGACATGTCAAGATGTTGTATAAATTAGTGCAAATCAGGGCGCCTGGGTGGCTCAGATGGTTGGGCGTCTGCCTTCGGCTCAGGTCATGATCCCAGGGTCCTGGGATCGAGTCCCGCATCAGGTTCTCTGCTCCTTGGGAGCCTGCTTCTCCCTCTGCCTCTCTCTCTCTGTCTCTCATGAATAAATAAATAAAATCTTTAAAAAAAAAAAAAAAATTAAATTAGTGCAAATCAAACAAGAATCATAGAATCCCAGAAAATGAAGTATCTGGAAGCACCAATTTTAACGATAACAAGTGTGTGTGTGGGGGGGGGGGCTGTCTTCTCAGTCTGCACTCAAACAATTTTTGAGAAACACTGTGGTAAACATAGTTCCATAAGTTAACTTGTGGAAGGACCTCCCATAACTTTTTTTTTTTTTTTTAAAGATTTTATTTTTTTTATTTGACAGAGAGAGACACAGTGAGAGAGGAGCACAGGCAGGGGGAGTGGAGGGGGGAGAGGCAGGCTTCCCGCCGAGCGGGGAGCCCGATGCGGGGCTCGATCCCAGAACGCTGGGATCATGACCTGAGCAGAAGGCAGGCGCTTAACGACTGAGCCACCCAGGCGCCCCACCTCCCATAACTTTTAACAGACATCAGTGTGTTGTGAATCTACGACAGGATTTCATGTTAACAAACCATATTCTAATGATATTTACCATAAAACATACAGCACAATACAACAAAAAAGAGTCCACATCTCCCAATTCCAAAGTACAGTTTGAGAAATGCTAAACCAAAATAAGCCTCTCATTTCATAAATGAATAAATGAGGTCCAAAGTAGCAGCAGAGAGGATGCAAAAGGACAAGGGTTTTTTTTAAGTTTTTTTTTTATTTGAAAGAGAGAGAGAGAGTACAAGGAGGGGGGACGGCAGGCAGAGGCAGAGGGAGAGGGAGAAGCAGGCTCCCCGCTCAGCAGGGAACCCAATGTGGGGCTCGATCCCAGGACCCCGGGATCATGACCCAAGCCGAAGGCAGACACCTAACCATCTGAGCCACCCAGGCGCCCCAAGACAAGTGATTTTTAATCCCCTATATCAACTCCAATCTTTTATTGGGGTTGCTGGAATGTACCTCAGATTGGAGTTGCTACATGTCATAATATAATTTAACTTTACCCTCCTGTGAACACAGAGAAGAAACTTCACGTAAGCACAAGTGAAATCTTGCTTTAAATTACTAATAGTTGGGGTGCCTGGCTGGCTCAGTCGGTAGAGTGCGCGACTCTTGATCTCAGGGTCTTGAATTCAAGCCCCAGGTTGGGTATAGAGATTATTTAAAAGTAAAATCTTTAAATTACCAATACTTGCTTACTGACCAAAAGCTGAGAACCATGGGGACTGATAGCCATGCTCCAAATGGGTCCTCCAAAGGCATCCACGGCATACTTGATGTTTAATGCCTGCAAATCATACTCGATAATTTCTCCATTGAGTCCAGCACTAAAGAGTCGCTGTCCTTTTGCCCAACACAGAGCTTCTGTAGCCCGAGATTCATGACCTGGAAAAAACTACAGAAACACAGTAGCTTGTCAACTCACCATGAATTAATCACCTAGCAGCAATGAGTGGTCACAGGTAACATGGTAAAAATTAAAACACTTCCCTAGAAATAACCAGTGTGGGGTTTTGTTCTACCAGAAGATCATGTTTATTAAGATTTTCATTTTTTAGATTCAAATTTTAGTCACCTACACAGTTGTGTTTCTTCTTTTTAGTATTTTATTTATTTGAGAGACAGCGAGAGAGAGAACAGGAGCAGGGTAAGGGGCAGAGGGAGAAGCAGACTCCCTGCTGAGCAGGGAACCCGATGCGGGGCTGGATCCTGGGACTCCAGGATCATGACCTGAGCCAAAGGCAGATACCCAATCGACTGAGTCACCCAGGTGCTCACAGTTGGTTTTGTTTCTCTTTCCAGGACTTGTTCTGCAAAACCTTTTCAGTAGAATAAAGTTTACATACAATCGTATTTGACATATACAGTTTAAAAAAACTAAATGTAACTATCTTGATTGGGTGATGGTTTCAAAGGCTTATATATGTCAAAGTTATCAACGTATAGACTTTTAGATTTTATTATGGGGCTCCTGGGTGGCTCAGTCGTTAAGCATCTGCTTTGGCTCAGGTCATGATCCCAGCATCCTGGGATGGAGCCCCGCAACAGGCTCCCATGTAGCACTGCTTCTCCCTCTCCCACTCCCCCGGCTTGTGTTCCCTCTCTTGCTGTGCCTCTCT